CAGGCAGCCTGTACGTAAGTTAAGCCCAGTGGAGCCTGCTGAGCTTGGCTTCACAGGGCGTGAGGAGGTACTGGGAAGAAGATGGGTTCTGCATACAGTACCTCCTGTCCCCCAGTGGAGACACCTCTAATGCTTCTGAGCCCCCTCCCACTCAGGAACTGATTCTCCAAAGTTTCCCACGCCTTGCTACAAAGTGAGCCCACATGTACTCGCCAGAAATAATATAGCAGATAAACTCTTTGGAGCACTGTGCCAATGAGTATATTGGTGCATTGCCCGTTAGGAGCCTCAGCAACTCCTAGAGGTGGCTATTTTTTATCACCCCCTTTTACAGATGAGGAAACCAAGTCCCAGTGGAAGCACGGTTGAGGTTGTAGGTAACACTCACAAGAGGGTAGAGATAGTGCCGGGTGCCCGTGGCTTTAACCTGTAATCCTAGCCACTTAGAAGGCTGAGATCTGAGGATCGAGGTTCAAAGCCAGCCCAAGCGGGAAAGTCCATGAATTTTTTTTTTTTTTTGGGCCAGTCGTGGGGCCTGAACTCTGGGCCTGGGCGCTGTCCCTCAGCTCTTCAGCTCAAGGCTAGCGCTCTACCACTTGAGCCACAGTGCCACTTCTAGCTTTTTCTGCTTATGTGGTGCTGATGAATCGAACCCAGGGTCTCATGCATGCAAGGCAAGCACTCTACCAGTAAGCCACCTTCCCAGCCCTGCTGTGTAACTCTTATCTCCAATAAACCACTCAGAAAACTGGAAGTGGCGCTGTGGCTCAAGTGGTAGAATGCTTGCCTTGAGCTGAAGAGCTGAGGGACAGCATCCAGGCCGAGTTCAAGCCCCACAACCGACCAAAAAAACCCCCCAAAAAACCAGAGGATAGAGCTAGGATTCAAACTCATGTAGTTTTGTGTGCTCCTAACAACTCTATGTATGTGGCATGGTCTACTAGAACATCCCACCCCCACCCCCAGAACTGGCTTTTGAACTGGCTTTGTACTCACTCAATTTGCTTACTTATGGCAAGTGGTAGGTGCTCTACCACTTGGACTATGGTTCCAGTCCAGTGTTTTGATAGTTAATTGGAGATGGGAGTTGTATGGACTTTCTTGCTCTGGCTGGCTTTGAACCATGCTCTTCAGATCTCAGCCTCCTGAGAAGCTAGGATTATAGGCATGAACCACTGGTACTGGCTCCAGGAAACTTCTTTTTTACCCTTTTTTTTTTGCCAGTTCTGGGACTTGAACTCCATCTGGTGTTTATTGAGCATCCTTGCTCAAGGTTAGCACTCTACCACTTAAGCCACAGCTCTACTTTTGGCTTTTTTGGTGATTAATTGGATATTTGAGTCTCACACGATTTCCTGCCCAGCCTGACTTTGAATCTTGATCCTCAGACCTCTGCTTCTTGAGTAGCTAGGGTGACAGGCATGAACCACCAGCACCCAGCTTCCAGGAAGGGTGTTTTTTGGTTGCGTTTTGTTTTGTTTTTGTCAGTCCTGGGGCTTGAACTCAGAGCCTGAACTCTGTCCCTGAGCTTTTTTTGCTCAAGACTAGCACTCTACCACTTGAGCCCACAGAGCCACTTCGAGCTTTTTCTTTTTTTTTTTTTTTGTCGGTCTTGGGGCTTGAACTCTGGGCCTGGGCGCTGTCCCTCAGCTCTTCAGCTCAAGGCGAGCGCTCTACCACTTGAGCTACAGGGCCACTTCCGGTTTTCTGGTGGTTTATTGGAGATAGGAGTCTCACGGTCTCTCCTGCCCGGGGTTGGCTTTGAACTGCAATCCTCAGATCTCAGCCTCCTGAGTAGCTAGGATTACAGGCGTGAGCCACCAGCGCCCGGCTACTTCGAGCTTTTTCTATGTCAGTGGTACTGAGGAATCGAACCCAGGGCTTCATGCATACTAGGGAATCTCTCTACCAGTAAGCCACGTTCCCAGCCCCAGGAAAGTTTTTATAATGATTAAATTGTTCTTAAAATCCGTGTTGTCTCAAATAGTAGCCAGTAAGCATATGTGACTATTGCCCACATCCTAAATGTGGCTAGTTCAACTAGTGAGCTGAATTATCCATTCGATTTCATTCTAATGCAAGAGGTATTTTATTTATTTATTTTTTGCCAGTTGTGGAGCCTGAACTCTGGGCCTGGGCACTGTCCCTCAGCTCTTCAGCTCAAGGCTAGTGCTCTACCACTTGAGCCACAGCGCCACTTCCGGCTTTTTCTGCTTATGTGGTGCTGAGGAATAGAACCCAGGGCCTCATGCATGCAAGGCAAGCACTCTACCACTGAGCCACCTTCCCAGCCCATATTTCATTTTTTGTGTGCATCAAACCCAGGGCCTTTGGCATTCTAAGGACAAACTCTATTACTGGATTATAGCCCCCAGTCTTACAACGTAAGTTTAAAAAAGCCACGTGGGGCCAGTGGCAACTATATTGGACTGCTTCCTTCAGGTGACAGTAGTCACAGGAAGAGGGTGATGGTGTCATTTTACAGATACAAACATTTGTAGGTTGCATTTATTGACTTGCACATGCTTAGTACAAGTCTTGTCTTATATGTTTACAAAGGCCCTTTAAAAGAGGTACTCGTCTTAACCTATACTATAGATAAGGAGACCAGGGCTCTGAGGAGAGAAATGACCTGCCCAAGATGCCACAGCTAGGACAGTCTTTGGGACTGTCTACTTCTAAGGCCCAAGGTCTTATCCTTTCCTTTGAGGGAAAATGACTGTGTAGCTACTTCCTCCCACCTGACCCCCCAAGTTGGTGCACACCACTTCCCTGCCATACCAGTTTGCATCCTGAGCTCTAGTCTAGATCACATCACCCAGACCCCTCTTTGCATGAAGCAAAGGACACAACAGTGTGTGAACCAAAGATACCCAGGCTCTGGACACAAGCATACTGTGAACGGGTGCCTGGCTTTGCTGTTCCAAGAGTTCTGGGAATACAAGAGGACTAAAAGAGGAAGGTAGGCATTGATGGCTCATGCCTGTAATCCTAGCTACTCAGGCGGTTGAGATCTGAGGATCACGATTCAAAGCCAGGCCAAGAAGAAAAATCCGTAAGACTCTTTATTTCTAATTAGCCCACCAAATGGCCAGAAGTGGAGCTGTAGCTCAAGTGGTAGAACACTATAGCAGTGAGGGAAAAAAAAAGGCTCAGAGACAATACCTAGGTTCTGAGTTAAAGCCCTAGGACCAGCATGTATGCGTGCACGCACACACACACAGACAAGGGGAGCTGGGTGCCAGTGGCTCAAGCCTGTTATCCTAGCTACTCATGAAGCTAAGATCTGAGGATTGTGGTTTGAAGCCAACTTGAAGTTGAGATCTGAGGATTGTGGTTTGAAGCCAACTTGGGCCGGAAAATGCCTGAGACTCTTACTCCAATTAACTACTCAAAAACTGGAAGTGGGGCTGGGAAGGTGGCTCAGTGGTAGAGTGCTTACCTTCATGAGGCCTTGGGTTCTATTCCTCAGTACCACATAAGCAGAAAAAGCTAGAAGTGATGCTGTGGCTCAAGTGGTAGAGTACTAGCCTTGAGCTGAAGAGCTGAGAGACTGCACCTAGACCCAGAGTTCAGGTCCCACGACCAGAGAAAAAAAAACAACACAGAAGTGGCACTGTGGCTTAAGCAGTAGAGCACTAGCCTTGAGCACAGGAGGCTCAGGGACCCACAACCAACAGCAACAAAAGAAAGAGCCAAGGGGGATTGCTAGGCCCTGAGTTCACCCCCAGTACCAACACCAAAAATAACTAAATAAGTTACTAATTTTTTAAAAAGTCTTGGAACATGTGGGCCTGTCTGGGGACAGGAGGACAGGAGTGGCGTACCTTAGTGCCACTGCTCGAGCAACCTTTGAAACGAAGGCCTCCTGTCGTAGCCAGAAAAGAATCCCTGAAGGCCGGTCCTCCTCCCCTCAGCTGTAAATACAGCCTGGGACCCGGGGAGCTTGCAGCCTGCTTGCTGACATCCCCTTTCAACATCAGCACCCCTTCCCTTCCTACTCCATTCTCGGACTTCCCAGTGCTGGTGCTCCTCTTCTGGGGCCAGTGTAGAGTGGGTGGACAGTTAGTCTGCACTCTCTCACCCTGGCCACATTGGCTGGAACAGCTTGTGTGCACAACAGAGCCACTCTGCAAGCTCATTGGGCTGTGCCTGCAGCGATATGTTCAAACATCCGGGTGCCCACACCTGCCTTGTCTTCTCTCTGCCCCAAGGCAGAGAGCTAGAACACTGTGAGGCAGTTTGGAAACTTAATCATGTCCATCTGGTCACCCATATTCATTCCGTGCCAGTCTGGCTTCCTCTTGGGCAGCCCTGGGGCCATGGTAATCTCTATCTGGAGCCTGCCCCGTGCTTCCTCTGGGCCTGCTCTTTGGAGATTTCACCACCATCTGTTTTGACACCTGGACTCAGGGTTTCCTTGGGCCCTGCTGAAAGCTGATGTGCTTTGGACCCTGGCAGCTGCCAGAGGCACTAGTGGCCTCCAGGGTCCTGTGCCATGTCCTGTGACAGGGCAAGGTGTGAAGATGGGGCCAAGTTGGGGAAGGTGGGGTGCTGCCCAGGAAGCAGGGTGCACCCCCCACTTCTCCCTCTGGGGCTGCCTATGTGGTCCCTGCCTCCCCTCCCCCTGCAATCCCATCTCCTCCCATTATCTTGCAGGCTTCTGCTGCCTGGCTCCTCCTGCATTCTCTTCTCTCTGTGGTGACCTCTTCCAGTCCTGTTTTCTTTACAGATTTTGCTTCTGGACCAGCTCGGCCTGACCCATTCTTGTGTCTGAAATAAGGGTGTGGCTTGGGGAGTGGCTGGGTCCTTGGGATTCAAAACAAGCAGAGGAGTGTCTCTGTGGCTTAAGGAGCCACACCATCTCCCTTCAAGGACACAATCCAGACAAACCTCGGCTCCATTCCCATCACCTTCCATCCAGTGTCCCCGTTGACAGAATTTTGTGACTTCCAGTTCCCCCACCGCTGTGGCTAATAGGACATGTTCTTTTGTTTCAGGACAGATCACTTCGGCCAGAGGAGATCGAAGGTAAAATTTGGCCCTTGGGAAAGGGAGGTGTGGGAGGGAAACTGTGAGAAGAGAGGCAGAGACACTTGGGGCTCTACAGGGAGCAGGGGCCCTGCACTGGTACCAGCCATCAAAGGAGTGAGCCTGAGGTGAATGAGGGGCCCTGGAGTTCTGGGATCTCCTGGGACCATCTCTCCAAACTGGATGGCCCTGGGCTGCCTTTGCTCCCAGATGCTCTGCTGGTCCTGCTTCCAATTACATCTGCTTGTATTTGCTTCCCCAGAGCTCCGAGAGGCCTTCCGAGAATTTGACAAGGACAAAGATGGTTATATCAACTGCCGGGACCTGGGGAACTGCATGCGTACTATGGGCTACATGCCCACGGAGATGGAACTCATCGAGCTGTCTCAGCAGATCAACATGAACCGTGAGTCCCTCTGCAGACACCTCCTTCCTTCCTTGTTAGACAGGCCTAGGGGACAATGTTGCTTGCTCTTCCCGCCCCCCCCCCCAAAAAAAATACTTCCAGCTCTGTGCTCTCAATTTTCTCACCTGTGAAAGGGGAATGGAGCACGAGTTAATAGGAGATTTTTTTTTTAACAGTCCCACAGCTAGCTGGCTCACAGTAAGAAATGATCAGAAGGGCTGGGAAGGTGGCTCAGTGGTAGAGCGCTTACCTTGCATGCCTGAGGCCCTGGGTTCAATTCCTCAGCACCACATAAGAAAAAAGAAAAAAGCTGGAAGTGGCCCTGTGGCTCAAGTGGTAGAGCGCTAGCCTTGAGCTGAAGAGCTGCGGGACAGCGCCCAGGCCCAGAGTTCAGGCCCTACGACTGGAACCCCCCCCCCCAAAAAAAAAAAAATTAAGAAATGATCAGAAGGAGCTGGGCACTAGGGTTCATGCCTGTAATCCTAGCTACTCAGGAGGCTAAGATCTGAGGATCACAGTTCATCACCAGTCTGGGCAGGAAAATCTGTGAGGCTCTTTATCTCCAATTAACCACCAGAAAACTGGAAGTGGAGCTATGGCTCAAAGTGAAAAGCACTAGCCTTTAGCAAAAGAGCTCAGGAACAGTACCCAGGCCCTGATTTCAAAGAAAGAAAAAAAATAATCAAAAGGATGTTTTATGGGTTTTGTTGTTTTGTTTCATTGTTTGTTTTTTTCCTTTGCATGTATTTGTGTGTTTGCTGGTGCCAGGGTTTAAATTCAGGGTCTTACGCTCACTTGGCTTGCTTGCTTGGCTGACACTATCACTCCAGCCACGCTTCCAGCCTGGCTTTTTGCTGGTTATTTTGACAGTGGAGTCTTATGAACTTTTCTGCCTGGGCTGGCTTTGATCCTTCTGAATCTCAACCACTTGAATATCTAGGATTACAGGCATGAGCCATCATTGCCTAGCTCTTTTTTTTTTTCTTGGCAGTACTGTTGTTTTCTATTTTAGTCTATATTTTCTTGAGACAGGGATCTAGATACAGGCATTTGTTTTGTGGGGGGACAAAAGAGAGCATTGGAATGGAGTAGGAAGTGAGAGAAGGAAGGAAAAGAGCAGACCCAGGGCGAACTCTCCAACCAGCTACCTGTGAGTGTGCTGGGAGCTCTGCGAGGTGATATGGGACCCTCTTACCCACCTATTCTGTCAGCAGGGGGTTATTCCCTGCTACTGGCTGAGCAGTCCCCGGATGAGAACCGTTATAAGTAGGAAGGTGGGTGCTAACCCTCTGGCTCTCCCACCAACTGAGAGCCACTTGGAAGTTGGGTTGGTGTTTTCACAGCAAGGGTAAAGCTTGGGACATGGCCTGTGACAGCCCTTCTCTGAGTGCGTCCGGGTCTCTCCATCTGAACTTGTTTTATTTTTTAAAATTTATTTTGGAGCATGAACTCAGGGCCTGGGTATTGTCCCTTAGTTTACCTTTTTTTTTTTTTTTTTGCTTTGTTTTTTGCTTATGACTAGCATTCTACTACTTGAGCCACACCACCACTTCTGGCTTTTTGATGGTTAATCAGAGTTAAGAGTCTTATAAGCCAGGTGCTGGTGGCTCACACCTGTAATCCTAGCTACTCAGGAGGCTGAAATCTGAGGATTGCAGTTCAAAGCCAGCCCAGGCAGGAAAGTCTGTGAGACTCTTATCTCCAGTTAACCACCAGAAAACCAGAAGTGATACTGTGTCTCAAGTGATAGAGTGCTCACCTTGAGCTGAAGAGCTGAGGGACAGCACCCAGGCCCAGAGTTCAAGCCTCACCTGACCCTCCCCCTCCCCCCCCCCCAAAAATACCTTTGACCTAGATAAAGGAGATAAAGAAGGGACTGGCAGCCCTCAACTAACAAACACCTAGCTGGAAGTGGAGATTAGATGGGTTGTGAGTGACCTAGCCTTTCTTCTTGCTTCAGTGGGAGGCCATGTGGACTTCGATGACTTTGTGGAGCTTATGGGACCTAAACTCCTGGCAGAGACAGCAGATATGATTGGAGTAAAGGAACTGCGGGATGCCTTTCGAGAGGTGAGTAATAGGTAAGCACAGGTGGGTGGGGCAGGCTGTTAGGGTTCCAGTCTCCAGATAGCTGCTTGGAAAGAAGCCCCAGCCCTGGGTCCCAGACCAGGGAGAGAATTTTAACCCAGAGGGGACCTGAGGGAAGGGAGACTTTTGAAGCAAAGCTCAGCCTTGGATCTACTGCTGACAGTCTCCATGAGGTAGCTACCTTGCTCTCCTTCCTGCTCGCTCTAGTTTGACACCAATGGTGATGGGGAAATAAGCACCAGTGAATTGCGAGAGGCTATGAGGAAGCTTCTGGGTCATCAAGTGGGACACCGAGACATAGAAGAAATTATCCGAGATGTAGATCTCAACGGGGATGGACGAGTGGACTTTGAAGGTAGGTGGAGTTTGAACGTGAGAGAGTGGCAAGCCAGCAGTGGCCATCCACGGAGCCCTCCAATGGTGTTTCCACCACATGATTAATTCAACCCAACTTTGTATCCCCTTGCCTTCCTTCCTCTTACCCCTCTACTGAATTCCTTGCCAATCTGTCCATCCCTCTAGGCACCCATCCACTCATCCATCCAGCCATCCAGCCATCATCCTTCCATCCATCCACCTTTCTACTATTCTGATATTTTTTTTGCCAGTCCTGGGGCTTGAACTCAGGTCCTGAGCACTGTCCCTGAGCTTCTTTTGTTCAAGGTGTGGCTGGTGGCTCACACCTGTAATCCCAGCTACTCAAGAGACTGAGATTTGGGGCTGGGAAGGTGGCTCAGTGGTAGAGCGCTTGCCTTGCATGCATGAGGCCCTGGGTTCGATTCCTCAGCACCACATAAGCAAAAAAGAAAGCCAGAAGTGGCGCTGTGGCTCAAGTGGTAGAGCACTAGCCTTGAGCTGAAGAGCTGAGGGACAGCACCCAGGCTCAGAGTTCAGGCCCCATGATCGGACCCCCCCAAAAAAGAGGCTGAGATTTGAGTATCACAGTTTGAAACCAGCCTAGGCAGAAAAGTCCATAAGACTCTTATCTCCAATTAGCTAGTTAAAACCAAAAGTGGAACTGTGGATCAAGTGATAGAACACTAGTCTTGAACAAAAAGTTTAGGGACACACACAGGTCCTGAGTTCAAGTTCCAAGTACTGGTACCAAAAAGAAGTCGTACATCCAGACAACATAATATTATTCAGCACTAAAAAAAGGAATGAGCTTGGCTGGGCATTGGGGCCTATAATCCTAGCTACTCAGGAGGCTGAGATAGCTACCTAGGAGGCTGAGATCTGAGGATCTCAGTTCACAGCCAGCTTAGGCAGGAAAGTCCATGAGACTCTTACCTCTCATTAACTGTTCAAAAAGCTGGAAATGGAGTTGTAGCTCAAAGTAGTAGAGCACTAGCCTTGAACACAAAAGCTTAGGGATGGTGCCCAAGCCTAGACAGAGTTCAAGCCCCAGGACTGGCAAAATAAAAAGGAATGAGCTATCGAGCCATGAAAAGACATGGAGGGACTATAAATGCATCTTATTGAGAATCCAATCTGAAAGGCTATACAGTATATGGTTCCAATTATATGACATTCTGGAAAAGACAAAAATGATAGACAAGCCAAGCACCAGTGGCTCACACCTGTAATCCTAGCTACTCAGGAGGCTGAGATCCAAGGATGGTGTTCGAAGCCAGCCTAGGCAGGAAAGTTCGTGAGACTCTTATCTCCAATTAACTACCAGAAAGCTAGAAGTGGTGCTGTGGCTCAAGTGGTAGAGTACTCACCTTGAGCTAAAGAGCTGAGGGACACTGCCCAGGCCCAGAGTTCAAGCCAGAAACAACAACAAAAAAGGTAACAAAAAAATCAGAGGTTTTCAAGACACAGGAGATTTGGGCAATGAAACCACTCTAATGGAGATATATCATCATATATATGTTTGTCCAAACTCATAGAATGCAGCACCAAAAGTGAACTCTAAACTGGGTGTGTGGGTACCTGCTTATAATTGCAGCTGCTTGAGACTGAGGAAAGAGGATTGTAAGTTCAGAGGCAGCCTGCACAACTTATAAGAGGGTCTCAGTAGTAGAGTGCTTGCCTAGTATGCACAGACCTGTGTTCATCAAATCAAATCTGCCACTCTGTGTGGGATCTTTCTGGTGGGGAGCCTGTGCATGTGTGAGTGTGGGTGCAGAAAATCTCATATTTTTCAGTCAGTTTTGCTGTGAAACAAAAATTGTTCTTAAAAAAGGTCTTGAACACTGGGAGCTGGTGGTTCACTCCTGTAATCCTAGCTATTCAGGAGGCTGAGATCTGAGGATCATGGTTCAAAGCCAGCCTGGGCAGGAAAATCAGTGGGAGTCTTTATTTGTTGTTGTTGTTGGTCCTGGGGCTTAAACTCTGCCTGAGCGCTGCCCCCTGAGCTTTTCAGCTCAAGGTAAGCACTCTACCACTTGAGCCAAAGCGCCACTTCTGGTTTTCTGGTGGTTAATTGGAGATGAGTCTTGTAGACTTTCCTGTCCAGGCTGGCTTTGAACCACAATTCTCAGATATCAGCCTCCTGAGTAGCTAGGATGACAGGCATAAGCCACTGGTACCCGGCTTGTGAGACTCTCATCTCCAATTAACCACCAGAAAACTGGAAGTGGCGCTATGGCTGAAAGTGGTAGAGTGCTAGGCTTGAGCCAAAAGAGCTCACGGACAGTGCCCAGGCCCTGAGTTCAAGCCCCACAACTGTCAAAAATAAATAAAGTCTTGAAGGTCTGAGAGCTGGGCCTCATGCCTATAATCTCAGGAGGCTGAGATCTGAGGAACTGGGTTCAAAGCCATTCTGAGTAGACAAATCCAAGAGATTCCAGTTCACCAGTGAGAATCTGGAAGTGGAGGTGTGGCTCAAGTGTAGAAATTCAGCCATGAGTAGAAAAGCCAAGGAAGAGTATGAGGCTCTGAGTTCAAGTCCTAGAACCACTCCCCACCCAAAAAAAAAGAAAGAAAAAGAAAAAAAAGAGTTTTGGGAAAGAAGACCTGTTATAGGAGAACTGAGAGGAGACAGAAGATGGGAAGGAGGGAGAGCAGCATGCAAACCATCTTGCGAGTTGAAAGTGAGGTGTTGAGTAAGCTGGAACAGATGGGGGTGTAGTACAGAAGGGGAGAGTGGGAAATGTCAGGACACTGGACAGCGCCCGAGGGAGCCTTGGGATGTTTGAGCAGTGGTCAGATTGCAGATTGGGAAGAAGCCCTGGCCGCTGGATGGAAGAAGGGGCAGAATGGACCTGAGGGACTGGACCCATTCAGTTGGGAGTTAATGGCGGTAGGGAAGGAGGCTCGACCCTGACTGCTGCCACCTCCTGTCCACCCCTGTCCCCTCCCAGAGTTTGTCCGGATGATGTCCCGCTGAGGCCTTGAGGGCCCCTCCAGGACTGCCAAGCCCCCACAGGTGGGGCGAAGAGGAGCAGGAACTCGCTCGCCCCGCTGTAGCCGCCGAGAAGCCCAGGATGTACTGGCGGAAGGGGCCTGCCTGCACCCCGGGGACGTACCCGCCCCGGACCCCCACCCCTCCGCACTGTGAAAGACTCCTGCAACTGGAAAGGGGGCGCCCGCCGCCGAGGAGGCCACCGTGCCAAGCCGGCAGAGGTCACGCCAGGCGCCAAGTGCCATGTGCCCAGCCCGCTGCTGGCTGGGTGGGCGGGGGAGCCTGCCAGCAGACCCCACACAGCATGTCTGCCCCAGGGGCAGAGCCTCTGGCTGCCCTCCTTAGCTCTATGCCTGTCCCAGCTCGCCTCAGCCCTGTGATCTCAGAACCAATAAACATGTTTCCAAGAGAATGACAACCAGGGATGGTCTTTGCTTCTCTGTCTCTGTCTCTCTCTGCGGGCTGGGGAGGGGGAGATATGTGTCTGTGTCTGTGCCTGGGCATGGTCCTGGGGGGTAGAACTCAGGGCCTTGATCTCTCACTTCTTTTTTTTTCACTGGAGCCTGGCATTCTCCCACTTGAGCTGCAGGGCCACTTCCAGCTTTTTGGTGCCTAATTGGAAATAAGAGTCTCACCAACTTTTCTGCCCGGGTTGGTTTCAAACCACAGTCCTCAGATCTCAGCTTCCTGAGTAGCTAGGGTTACAGGTATAAGCCACTGCTTTGCTTCTTGAGCCTGGTTAGATGATGCACTGGATATAACACCTGTACTCCCAGAACTGGCTGGTCTCCCCTGCACCCTGCATGCAGTTACGGAGTGTCCTGCTCAGTAACATAACCCGGCAACTTCCAAGACCTGGTGCTCTTCTCTAAGAGGGGGTTGGGGAGAGTGATTGTGTAGTTAGGGAGGAGGCTTGCTGGGGAGCGTCTCACGGGGCTGGACCGTTTCCTGGCTCGCTCCTACTCCATACTGGTTAGGGAGACAGACATGGCGTAAACACATCTGGTGTGACCTTCAAGCAGGGTAGAATTAGGAGGCCAGATTGCTCTAGGGAGAACTTTCCTGAGGAAGTGACATCAAGGACTTTTCCCTGGAGGAAGTCCTAACTGTTTGAAGAGACAGGTGTCAAAACAGCTGCTATGTCTCCTGAGGTGGGAAGCGGATATATAGTGCTCAGGCCTTGAGTTTGCTTGCTGTGTGACTTTGGGCCAGTTGTGTGCCTTCTCTGAACCTCAAGTGTCATGTGGCAGAGTTGATAAAAGGATTAATATAGAGTAAACACAAGGCATTGGATTGTATGCTCCTGGGGCTGCCAGATGTGGGCAACTTTGGGATTATGCAATGGGGTCATATAAAATAGAGCCACTGTAGGCATTGCAATTAACTTCTGCAAATGAAGAGTTGGAGCCCAGGAGAATTGTGGGTAGGCTCGGGACATACTTGGATATGCAAGGTAGCCAGTATATGCCAACTTACTGGTTCTTTACTATGAATAAGAATCACCTGGGCCAGGCACTGGTGGCTCACGCCTATAATCCTAGTTACTCATGAGGCTGAGATCTGAGGATCATGGTTCAAAGCCAGCTTGGATAGGAAAGTCCATGAGACTTTTTTGTCAGTCCTGGGGCTTGAATTCTGGGCCTGGGCACTGCCCCTGAGCTCGTCAGCTCAAGGCAAACACTCTACCACTTGAGCCACAGTGCCACTTCCAGTTTTCTGAGTGGTTTATTGGAGCTAAGAGTCTCACAGACTTTCCTGCCCAGGCTGGCTTTGAACCATGATCTTCAGATCTCAGGCTCCTGAGAAGCTAGGATTACAGGTGTGAGCCACTGGTGCCCAGCTTCCGTGAGACTCTTATCTGCAGTTAACCACCAGAAAACTGGAAGTGGCTCTGTGGCTCAAGTGGTAGAGTTGAAGAGCTCAGGCACAGTGCCTGACAAAAGCCCCATAACTGACAAAAAAAAAAATCACCTAGTGTGTGTGTGTGTGTGTGTGTGTGTGTGTGTGTGTGTGTGTGTGTGTGTGTGTGTGTATTGGGGTTTAAACTCAGGACCTTAGCACTGTCCCCAAGCTTTTTTACTCAAGGCTGGCACTGTAGCACTTGAGTCATAATTCTGCTTCCTGCCTTTTTGGTGATTAAATTGACCTTGGCACTGGTGGGTCACCTCTGTAATCCTAACTACTCAGGAGCCTGAGATCTAAGGATTGTGGTTTGAAGCCAGTCGGGGCAGTAAAATCTGTGAGACATCTCCAATTAGCTACCAAAAAAACTGGAAGCAGAGCTGTGGCTCAGATGGTAGAGTGCTAGGCTTGAACAACAACAAAAAAGCTCAGGGACTGTGCCCAGACCCTAAGTGCAAACCCCAGGACTGACACAAAAGAACAACAATAATTGTAAGATAGAGTCTTAATGACTTTCTTGCCCAGGCTGGCTTTGAACCATGATCCTCAGAGCTCAGCCTCTGGGTAGATAGAATTACAAATGTGAGCCACCTGCACCCAGCCTTACCTGGAGGATTATTTTTTTTCAAGCCACAAATCTAGACCTGTTCCCAATGATTCTTAGTCTTTATTTAGGATGCGGCTGATGAATTTGCCTCCCTAACAAGTTCCCAGGATTAGCTAGTGCTGCTTGTCCGTGGGCCATAGAACTCCATCCTAAGTCCCAGATATGTGGGAGGAGGCATGCTTCCCGGCAGCTGAGACAGGCTATCAGGCTAAGGGATAGAGCCAGTGGCTCGTGCCGCAGCCGTGGAGGATGCTTGTTCTCAGACCTGGCAGGCAATGTGGGAAACCCTGTGGGCCCCGGCCTCCAGCCAGAGACCTGTGTAATCCCCGTGTCCTTCAGCCCAGCAGGACTGGGGCTCCAAATTCACTCGAATAATCCAATTCTGAGACTAAGCCCTTGGCTCTGGTCCTCGACATACGGGCTGGTAGCACCCCCACCTCCCCCCCGCCTACCCCACTCAGCTTAGCTCTGCCCGGGAGACGCTAGATCGCCACAGATTTCTGAATGTAGTGGCTCGGAAGGCAATTTGTACAAAGAAGGCCGATGGAGACAGGTCTGGCAGCTGGCATTGAGGGGCCTCTGGGAAACCACAAGGAGAGGGTAGAGTTAGGGACTAGCTGGGTCCCAAGAGTGTTCTCTCCCAGAGTCCCATACCCCTGATTTAATACCTTATGATGCTGTGGAGCATCCTCAAAAAGCTCTTTCTGGCTGGAAAGGTCTTTGCCTCCTTGGGCCACTTAAAGTTGAATTCACTCATTCATGTAGCTATTCAGCTGATATTTATGTTTTGCAGTGCTAGGGATGGAACTCAAGACCGTACATGCTAGGCAAAAAGTGCTTTTTTGTGTATGGCAGTACTGGGTCTTGACCTCAGAGTTTTGTGCTTAGCTTTTTCCCTCAAAGCTGGTGCTCTACGAGTTGAGCACTTCTGGCTTTTTGGTGGCTAATTGGAGATAAGAGTTTCAGGCAAGCTGGGTGCCAGTGGCTCATGCCTGTAATCCTAGCTACTTGGGAAGGAGGCTGAGATCTGAGGATGCAGTTCGTTGCCAGCCTAGGTAGAAAAGTCTGTAAGATTCTTATCTCCAGTAAACCACTCAGAAAAATCCAGAAGTGGTGCTGTGGCCCAAGTGGTAGAGGACTAGCCTTGAGCACAAAGACTCAGGGATAACACCCAGGCCCTGAATTCAAGCCCTAGGACTGGCAAAAAAAAAAAAAAAAAAAAAATCTCAGGTATTTTCCTGCCCAGGCTGGTTTCAAACTAGTATCCTCAAATCTCAGCTTCCTGAACAGCTAGGATTATGGGCGTGAGCCACCAACACCAGATTTACAATGCCATTTTAGATGAGAGACTTAAGCCCCTTCAAATTTTAGTATTTGTGGGGGTCCTTGAACTCCCCCCGCCAATGAATACTGAGATAAGAATGTAATATGTGAAGCCCTTGGACTGTGCCTGGCATACAGTAAGCATTATTACAACTTTTGCTCTGATTTTTGTGATTTGCAGTGCCTCCATGTGCCCGCCTATTTCAGTGATTTCCTTTCGTGGAACAGGGACTGGTGAGTGGACGTAGCGCTCACTAATATCTGCGCCCAAATCTCTCATTGACAGTGATGAGATAATCATGGCTTACATCTGGGATCTGGCTCTTGATGACTGGGCAGCGGCCACCTGCACTGCCCTGGTCCTATAAGACCACAGTCCTGATCCTGTTCTGCCCATCTGGCTCACCCTTTCTCCTCTCCCAGGGACCTGTTACCTGCTCCTGCATTCAAGCTAATGGCTGGCTGTCTTTCCTAGAAAGAGACACCTCTGTCTCTGAGCATCGTGATTGACACCTGGGCTTTGGTGTTAAGAAGGTCCTGGGGGGGCTGGGAAGGTGGCTCAGTGGTAGAGCACATGCCTTGCATGCATGAGGCCCTGGGTTCGATTCCTTAGCACCACATAAGCAAAAAGAAAAAAAGCCAGAAGTGGCGCTGTGACTCAAGTGGTAGAGCGCTAGCCTTGAGCTGAAGAGCTGAGGGACAGCACCCAGGCCCAGAGTTCAGGCCCCACAACCAGATTCCCCCCCCCCCAAAAAAAAGGTCCTGGGTTCTTTTTGGTTTGTTTGTAGGGCTTGAATTTGGGGCCTGGGCACTGTCCCTGAGCTTTTTTGTTCAAGGCTAGCACTCTACCACTTTGAGTCACTGCTCTATTTCTAGTTTTCTGGTGGTTAATTGGAGATGAGTCTCACTGGCTTTCCTGCCCAGGCTGGCATCAAACTGCCATCTGGCATTACAGGCATGAGCCACTGGTGTCCGACAGGCCTTTGGTTCTGACCTCATCTCTGCCACTTAAGGTAAAGGATGTGTGTGTAGGTTATATGTGTTGAAGAAAATTCCTGCCAGGTGTTGGTGGCTCATGCCTGTAATCCTAGCTGCTCAGGAGGCTGAGATCTGAGGATTGTGGTTCAGAGCCAACCTGGGAAGGAAAGTCCGTGAGACTCTTCTCTCCAATAAACTACCAAAAAACTGGAAGTGGCACTTTGGCTCAAGTGGTAGGGCGCTCCCCTGTGCCTGGGCGCAGAGTTCAAGCCCCATGACCTACAAGAAAAAAAGAAAGAAAGAAAAAGAAAAAAAAGAAAAATTTCTTTTCCACCTTAACACCTTAAGCCTCTCTATTCACAATAATTTCACCTTCCTGTTGGTGGTTGTGAGGAAATATCTCATTATGCTTAGTAGAGCTCTTGGTTTCAGTGCTTCATACATTCTATTTCCTATGCCTGGAATGCTTTTCCATCTACTATGTTTTTCACTCTGATACCAAGGATTGGATTAAAGACCTTATACTTGCTGGACAAAGGTGGTACCATTTGAGCCAATCTCCCCACCTCCCCCCAGAGTCCTTTGTGT